CAGTGAGCCTTGGAGGAAATGAAGGAAACAGCCAGGACTGACTCACAGGGGATGGGTGTTTTGCTTGCTGCTTGTGTAAACTTATTGGGCTGCAGTTTTCAAGCTCTCTGTTCTGCTCCCTTCCATTATTACCAAGGTTCTTCATGCCATATGCACAGGCTTGCATCTGCTTGGAGTAAGATACGGCTGCTGAACATGCCTAGGGAAGCAAACTGGCTTTCCAAGGAGGGCTCAAGCAGATGATTTTAGTTTTAAGAATATGTCAGCAGCTGAACCAAGTTACTGTTCTCTCCTGCTGCTTACCTGGATTTTGGCATGCCCAGCTGTGTGCTCTGCATGTAGAACTAAACCCAGAATAGTGTCTGGGCAGAGCAGAGAGGATGTGACAGCGCAGGACTTGAGTGGGACAGGATGTTTACAAGGAGGATGTCAGAGTGGGAGGTTAATATTCCAACTGCCCTTCAGCCCGACATAGCAAAAGGCATTGCAGGAAGCAGGAGCAATTCAGGGTACGGGGCCCTGCTCTTGATGCTGGTGGGCCTCTTTGCAGGGAAGGGACACACCAGAGATACATATATATGTATACACACCAAGGAGGTATATCCTTGAAGGGAAAGGGGCATGCTCAGCTGCTGCAGGGCATAGTTTGGTGGGCTAAGAGACAGTGCAGCCCAATCCATGTGGGATACTCACAGCATGGGACAAGCCCTCCCCTGCTCACACTCTGCTGGGTTCCAGATGTGTTCAGGCACTCAAACTCTGTGCAGCAGGCAGAGAAAGCAAGGTATCTCAAGACATAATTCTCAAAATCAAACAGAAAACTGCCTCTGCAGCTGCTGGAGGTGCCAAGGACAGGGGGAGAAGTTAAGCCCACGTCAGACAACAAGTTGCCCTTTTCTGGATAGAAGAGGAGCAGTTTTCCAGCCAGGATGATCAACTCCAACCTGATGCCAGCTGCTAGGAACTTAGAAAATGCAGTGAGAAGATGCACTAGCTATTGTCGCCCTGATTTTTTAAGATTTTCTAAACCTTCCCATGTTTACATTCTTGTAACAAACTTTCTCACACACTTTCTGTAAATAGCTTATTGTTTTACATTCTTATATGGAAGAAGAGAAATTTAATAGACTGTTGGTTTGTCCAGTGTCATTGGAGAGCTGGCACTTTCAGCCTCCAATCCACTGTCACTTTTAGAAATCTATAAATGTTAGAGTCAGAAAGTAAACTTCCCCTTTTTTCACCTTGAGAGCAGCGGTGTGTGCGTGTCTTGTTGTTTCGTGTCCTATAGTGACAAGCTATTTATATAATCTCCCAGAGGTCTGACACGAAACTAAAAAGAGACATGATCCAGAGTCAGCTCCTGGGAGTTTGAAGCATCCCTTTCCTTGCATCTGACTGTAAATGAAGTGATGCGGAATGGGAATCTCAGCTGCAGGAGCTCATCCACTCTGCTGAAAAAAGGCACCCACACAAATGAATGAAAGGAGTAATTGAATCAGAAGACAGCAGCAGGCATGAGGATGATTCTGTAGCTGGCTGGGGAGAGTTCTCAGTGTGCTTCCACTTCTGAGTGGAGTTTTCCTGCCTGGGAGACTCCACATGGGGTCTTGCAGGCAAGGGAGGGTTCAGGACTGCCTAGGTGTGGGCTGCAGGGTTGCTCTGGTGGTTGAGCAAGCTCCCTCTCTTTTGCTGAAATCTTCAGAGCACATCCTGGAGGAAACACCTGTAAGCCTCAGGAAATGATCAGGAGAAAAAAGCAGACTTAGCAAAGAGACAACTCTGGATATCAACTTAAGAGACAAAATATATAATATAGGTAATGCCTTCCTCAGCCACCTGTCTAAGATAATTCTTTGCACATTTTGTGATTTTGGTAAGCAAAGACCTATATAATACACCATGGCAAAGTGCACCCTCACATAAATCCCGTATCCCTTTAAGCACCTGTGTACCTACAAGAGACAGAAAGCCCAGGAATTGTAGCTGTGGACTCAGCTTCTTAATGCAGCCTACAGAGTTTTTCTATCCATAGCCTGGTCAATTTCTTCTGAATTCAGGTGTTTCATAAATTTTCATTTATTTTATGATCTTGGATGTGATCCTGCCTGGGATCCTATAAAGCCTAGGATAACTCAACACTTTTCCTTGAACCCTCAGCTGCCTGCTGGGAGGAAACACAAAGGGCTCACACATGTGAAGTTAAGAAGTGGGAAAACAAGAGACTCAGATAGTGAAGGAAGCTTAAAAATTAAAAAGCATCTCTGAGTCTTAAGCTGGTCCAGAGACCTGGGCTGGTGGGTCAGCTGCACTCCAGAGGCAAAGCAAACAAGTGCTGTGTCCAAACCTGAGAGGGACAGAGTTATTGCAGAATCACAGAAAGTCTGGAACTGCAAAGGACCCACAAAGATCATCCAGCCCAACTCCTGGCCCTGCACAGGACACCACAGCAATCCCACCCCGTGCCCAAGAGTGTTGTCCAAACGCTCCTGGAGCTCTGTCAGGCTGGGTTCTGTGACCACTACCTGGCGGAGCATGTTCAGTTCCCGACCACCCTCTGGGTGAAGAACATTTCCTAAAATCCACCCTAACTCTCCCCTGACCCAGCTCCGGCCGTTCCCTGAGTCCTGTCGCTGGTCAGACAGAGCAGAGTTGAGGGCCAGCCCCTCCTACTTGCGAGGAAACTGCAGAATTATTGTGAGCTCTAACCTCAGTCTCCTCCAGGCTGAACAAGCCGAGAGACTTCAGCCGCTCGTCGTATGGCTTTCCCTCTAGGACTTTCACCCATATACTTACTACTGAATTAAAAGAAAAAAAAAAAAAAAAAAAAGAAGAAAAAAAGGAAAAAAACCAAACAAACAAACAAAAAAGGAAAAAGGAAAATACCTTCCGCTCGGACGTGTCAGGGCCTGTGGCCGGCCGGAGCCAGGAGCGGGTCCAGAGCCGCCGTGTCCGCCGCAGCCCCTTGGCCACCCTACCCTGCCCTGCCCCGCCGCGGTGCCGTCGGAGCGCGGCCGCCGGTCCCGCACGCCAATCAGGGCGGCCCGCCTGCCTTCCTGTAGGTGTGCCCGGCTCACCTGGAGCCGCGCTCGGCACTCATGACATACCTGCGGCCCCGCGCAGGGCGGCGGCGAGGTGGCGGCCGAGGGGCGCCGAGGGCGGTCGCCGCTGGCCCCGGCCCCGCGATGTGAGCCCGACGCAGGTAAGGGCGGCCGCCGGGGGCGGCGTTGGCGTATTCCCGGGATCGCTGTTGCCGCATTCCCGGGAGAGGCGCGGGCCTGGCGCCGGATCCCCGCGGAGCCTGGGCCAGGACGGACGGAAGGGCGGCTGCCCCGCGGGGCCGGGGCGGGGGCGACGGGCGGGCTCCGGGAGCGTGGGGCGGGTGGGGGGACGGGACGGGAGCAGGGGGTGAAGGAAGAGGAGGGAGGTCGGCCGACCCACCATTTTAGGACCCGATGGGGACGGGAGGAGGGATCTCCGGGGAAGGCGAGCGTCGCTCCTTCCGCGGTGGGCCCGGTGCGGGTGCGCGGTGCGGGCGCCATCGGGGCGCGGAGCCCCTTGGCGTCCCGGGCGCCGCGGGAGCTCCCCGAGGGGACGGCGAAGGAGGCTCCGATCCGCCCAGCCCGGGGCCGCATCTTTGGCGGGGGCTCTGCGCCCCGACGGCAACGCCCGTCCCGCCCGCTGCCCCCCGTTCCCCCGCCTGCTGCCGGCAGCAGGGAGGGCCCGGAGCGCAGGCCCGATTCCAGGCTCGGCTGCCAAGCAGCAGCAGGAGTCTCTTCTCGCAGGAATGGTGCCTCCCACGCAGGAGCGAGATACCACGGTGTTCGCCGGGTTTTCAGCTCCCGCCGGGACCTGCGGCCCGGGAGTCGTGGGGGTGCTGTGCTTGAACTCTGGACACCTCCTTGTTTTCCTCCTTGCCTCGTGACTTTTGTGGCCTGTCACGGAGGGAAGGCAGAGGAACGAAAGGCGAGATCTTTGCCTGCTGCTCGCTTCCTGCCTCCTTCCTGCAGCCCCGGCCACCGCAGCAGCTCCGATGGCAACCCCCAGCGCCCCAACCAACCTGCCGGGGGGAAGTTCGGAGGTCCCACGGCTCTCACCTGACCCGTCATCCTCCCAGCACCCATGTTTGTCGTTTCTTGATGCTTCGTTTATTCCAAGATATTGGCTAAGACTGCATCAAACCTGGTAGGAATTACGGGGTCAGAGATCCTGAGCTCAGCTCATCGGTGTTGACTTGCTGCAGATTCTGCCAGAGCACTGCTGGATATCGATGCCCGTGTTGGCTTCTCCTGGAGCTGAGTGCCTGTTCCTCCTGGACCTAGCCACATGTGTAATGTGTTGTTGGAAGTTTTGTGACCTGATTCCTTGGTGTTTTGGAGTTTCTCATAACCTAAATGACTTTGAGATGGCTTGGATAAGGGCTTAAAGGGTTGCACTGGAGGGAGGTGGCTTGGTTTGGAGGAATAATGTGTGGGTGACCCAGATTTCAGAACTGCACCTGAATTGGGTGAGGAGGAGGCATCCATAATCAGACTTGAAGTTGTAAGAAATCGGAGTTCTTCTTAGTTTTTGTTCATGTTGGGAAGAGCTCAGCTGGCTTCTGTGTAGAACCTTGTTTTGCCAGGTGGTGGTTAAGGGTGGCATTTGTCCTGTCCTCGTGGTCTGGGTAAACCTCAGTGGGATTACACGGTCCAGTTGCTTGTGACAGCAGGTGGCTGGGCTTGAGGTTGATGCTCGTGCTCTCGGAAATAGTGGGACACAAATACTTCCTCCGGGAACTTCTTGTGCATCCTGGTAGATTTTAGATAGATGGTGAGTCTGTTCTGCAGGCTTTTTTGTTTTGGTTTGGGTTTTTTTTGTTTGTTTGGGGTTTTTTGTTTTGTTTTTGTTTTTTTTTGTTTTGTTTTTTTTATTCTGTTAACTTTAGATGGATGTTCTTGTGCTTGGTCTGTTGAACCTTATAATTTCTTATAGTACTCTTATTTCATGTGCTTTCTAGTAGGAAAGAGTCAAATTATGCTATAGTTTTTTGATGATTTTTTATTTCCTTTTTTTTTCCTTTTTAATGTAATCTTTTTTAGAGTCTTGTTTAAAATGGGCTGTTTTATTTAATTAGTTTGTATTCATCTTACATTCACTCTCCATAGTTATCCCAGACAAAATTTAAGGAACAGCCCACAAGGGAATTCCAATTCTTAATTGGAATCACTTTTTTTCCGAAGGATGTTTGATTCTAAGTATTTACTTTGCTTTCTTTCATCTGGTATCTTTCCAGTTGATGTTGTTTGCTTTGTTACTGTTTGGCTAAATTATCCACAGCTAGTTTATTTCAGTAGTCATGCCTGGGAAGTTTTGCAATTCCTTTCTGCTTTGCAACTCCTCACTGAACTCCTGTTGAATCTTTTACTGAAGTACTCAGAAGTGACTTCAGTGCAAATGCAGTTGTGCTCTATTGTTTTGACAGTTGGGCTCTACAGAGAGTATATTTCCCTCTTTCCTGAGGTAATCACACAGTTGATGTTCAGAGTATCAGCCAGTTGGAGACAGATACCTTCACCTGACCCCTGGCAGGTATTTACATTCCCAGCTGGTTATCACTGCATTGAATCCAAAATTCTACTATAGAAGTACTCAGTCTTGATTTCAAGATATCAGGTGATAGGCTGCAGTGGTTTCCTGGATAAATTATTCCAATGGCTGATTACCCTCGCTAATTTCTTATCTCCATCTGTCTGGCCTGGCTCCTAACCACAGAGTCTTGCTACAAGTTTTCATGTCAGGTTGACTGAAAGCCTGTTGCTGCCAGGATGACACATTCCAGCTAAAAGATGGTCTGTTGTACTGCAAGCCCATGGCTGTTAGCTGTGCTGAGCTCTTCCTTCTGGGAAGAGGCAGCTGTGGAGCTGGAGTCTGGGTGATCAGCGTGGTTTAGAGCAGTGATGGAGGATGCCTGGCCTGGTGTCTCTGTGCGGGCAGGGCTTCCTGGGAACTGTGATTGAATAACTCTGTTGCTTGGAGCTGGGCTTCACATGATGAGCAGCCCAGCAGCACAACAGGATGCTGCTGAAGGAATGATCCAGTTCTCATCCAGTTCTGACTGCAAGCTCCTGCTGCTTCCCTGGGATCAGCTCTGGTGACCAAGTGGCCTCAGATCAGTCCAGTCACTGCTCCAACTGATTAACCCCCCTCCTTAAAGAAAAAAAGTATAGAAGTTGGATTAGCCTGCCTTGTGGCCAGAGAGATTGCTGAAGAAGTGTAGCGTGACACTGCACATGAGAAATGTAGTGAGGGACCACCTTTTCCAACAGCAGAATTAGATGCCAGAGGGAATCACACATTTAGTTCCTACATTTCTGTGCTTGGATAAACAGGCTGTGGTTGCACAAATCCTCTCAGCTGGCACTGCTGTTGAAAGAAGCCGGCATGCCTTCCTGTTGGCATCTCTACTTGTACTCTGATGCAGTTTGTTGTGGGACCATACATGCACCTCTACCACCAGGAGAGAAAGGACAGAGGATGGAACTCCTTTTGGCAAGGTGAAGAGTTGGTGAAACTAGGAGTTGTCACAAGCATGCCTTACCTTTTAATCTTCATAGAAGGCAGTGTATCTTTTTGCCTTCCCTCTGCAGCTGACCTGCATGAGAGCAGCTGCCCTGATTTACTCAGTAGTGTGGATTAACTCTGTTGTGTGGCTTGGGAGAACTGGGTTAACCCAGGACTGGGATTAGGTCAGCTGCTTTTATGTCTTTGGTCAAGAAGTGTGTGTTGAAATTTGTTGTGTGGGAAAGAGCATTTAGGGTAAGAAGAAGGTCTGAGTGTTGGCTGTGACACGCTGCTTCCTATGAAGGATTCAGTGGTGCGGAAAAGTTCTAAGTTAATGCATTCATGCATTCTAGATGTGAGTTCTCAGTGCTGAGCCATGTGGGGTGCCCTTTTGGGAAAGCTTCATTAATCTTGTCTTTTCCATTAACAAGTGACTCCAGCTTTCTTGCTCTTTAAGTAGAATTGGTTTACTGAGACAAAATCCATTCCCCATCTATTCTTTTAGACACTATTCCTTCAAGTCCTGTGCAGAACACTGCAGGATGAGGAACAGAGCCTGTGGTGGGGACTTGTTTTGACCTCATGTTGGGGAGGTTGGATTAAAAGCAAGGTGAAGTCGGGAGAAGAAATTCCCATGACTTTAGTACAAGTTCAGTGCAAGGTCAGGGGGAGGACTATTGGTTTTGATAGTGGGAAAAATTTAGAAGAGGGGAGGTGATTACCATGACATGTGTACAAATGCACATAGATAAACAGACACACATATGTAAATGTATACAAAATAGAGGATGTTCTGATGCTAGGAGAGGTTGAGGAGGAGTGGCTGAAGAAACTGTAATTGGATAGCACACAAGGAGGGAACTGAGGAAGCACAGGAACCTGCTGCTGGGAGAATACTGCATTCAAGCAGAGATGGCCATAAATTCCCTTCCTGAAAACATACCCTTTCTGCAGTGTCACAGAGAAGTGTGTGACATTTGGACACCAAACCACGTTTTTGTGATCTCAGATTGAACACCCAGCTGCAGGCAGGGGCTCAGTGTGTGAGATTGACTGTGCACAGCCTTGCTGGTGCTCTGAGTCATTAAGCATGGGGATTTCTAATGCTGATCATATACAGAAATTCCCATATCTCCACCAGGGCCAGGCTGGGGTGGTGCCAAGCGGGATCCACTAGCTGAGTGATCCCCTCCATGGGCAGAACAGAGCTGTGCACTGGTGAGCAGACCCAGCCTTGCACAGGGTGTGACTGGAGGAGGTGAGGGGAGGGAAAGCTCCTGCTTCATCACCAAATCCAGCAGTAGAGTTTATGAATCCAAAATACACCCCTCTGGAGGCAGGGGAGGGGATTAGGATCCTGGTCATGTTAGGGCATGATTTGTTCAAGTTGCAGAAGCCCAGGGATAATCAGAGGACACGAGTGTGGGTTACAAGCAGACTTGTAGCTAGTTGGACATGATCCCTGTTCACATCTGCCACAAAGTGGCTGCCATGGCTACACTTTCATATTCACTGGATAATAGAAATAGGTGCACAAAGCAGTGTTACGCTAACACAAACGCCACTGCTGAGAGGATTAGAAGAAGATGCTTTGCCCGCGATCTTGCTGGGCAGCTGCAAAAAATTAGGATGTGTAAGCTATATTGTATGTGTGCTTTACACTCACCTTTACAGGTGTAGTGATCAAAAATGCCTACACAGATTGTTTGAATAGCTTAAATCTTACTTGGGCCCTTAAATCTTCACTACAGATTGCTGTCTGTTATGAGGGGCTCGTGGAAACTTGGAAAGAGTAGATGGGAAGATTATACCTTTCACAGTAAAAAGATACCATACCAGTGCCTGTAGCAAAGCTCTGATGCTGTAGCATCAGATGTCTTTAGTGGGTCTGGGCTGCAGGCTAAATCCTTGGATTAAGCTTAAGTTTAGATGCAGAAGTTTTGCTGTAGGTATTCCATAGTGCAGGCATCCAAGGGTAACTCTAGACTATGAAATGTAATCCATCTGCAACATTTGAGTCACTCTTTTTTCTGAGGTCCTCGAAGATTACAGTCTGGCTTTACAGGTGAGGGCTGCCAGGCTGCTGTTGAAGTTGTGAAGGTGCAGTGTGTCTATTTCCATTCTATTGCTGGATTTAGGGGAGAAGAGGTGTTCTGAGTATGCTGCCAGCTCTTCAGGACAGGAATAGTGCACAGTATTTAGAACAGTGAGGATTCAGTCCTGATGGTTGGTATGGCTCATGGCTCAAGTAACTCTTCTCATTGTTTGTTCTCTTTTTCTTTGCACATGAAGATATTTCAGGCTTGAGTGGGGATACAATACATCTGGTAGATCTTAGAGTGCTCTGAGAATGCTGCACTTTTCTCTCCTTTCTCTACTCCTCCCCACAAGACTGTACAATATCCTGAGTTGGAAGGCACCCACAAGGATCACTTAAGTCCAACTCTGAGGCAAGGTGTTTTCTCCTGGAAAGGCATGTCCCAGGTACAGGTAAGGAGAATTTCAGGATGGGCAAGGAGGGGAGTACTGACAAGGCTGCAGTACAGTACACAACCTGGTTGTGACTCTGTGCTGTGACAAACCGTGGGGCAGAGAAAGGATGCTGTGGGGAGATAGCCAAAGGGAAGTGGGACCATCCCATATTTTTGCAACAAATTACAGGTTGTGGCATGCTTTCTTAAATGTGCAAATGATTGAGGGAGATGGGTTTACCCCTCCAAGTCACACAGTAATTTCTTAATAGCAACTGGTGATGTGTATAGGGAATACATGACTGTATGTCACTCTCTTCTCATCCCTGAGCACAGCTGGGAAGAGGGAATATTCTAGCAGGGCATGTGGAGAAGGCTGAAAGGGAGGCTGTAGGGTGTTCCTGTAGGCACAGGGTGAACACTGCTTGTTTTGGTGCCATCTGGGAAGGCAGTCATCCTCTCGCATCGCTCCTGCAGTTTACCTTGTCTTCTGCCCCTGCACAATGAATAAACTGAGCTGTTTCATTTTGGAGAGGGCAGAGAGAGGAAGATGAGCAATTTGAAGGTATGCTGGAGCAATGAAATGTGCCTTATCCTGGAAGAGCAAGGCCAGGCATGCAAGTTATGTCATTCTGTCACAAGGGAGGGTCTGGGCTGTGAAAAGCAGCTAAAAATTGTGTCTGTGCATCTAGAAGAATCATGACAGCTGAATGGCCCAGTGGGTGTTATCCAGATGAATGACATTTCTTCCTTCGTTCTCTACCAGCATCATTTTTGCCTATCTAGTTGCTGAGTGGGTGATAACAGTGGTATCAGACATGAAAATAAGCATCTGAGTATAAAAGGGGAAAGATGAATTGATTCTTACTCTGATAGTGTTAGCAGATGACTTTAGAAGAGACCAGAACAAGAAAAGGTGAGATGTGCTGCATTGTGTATGCAGTGAAAACTGTCATGATCAGAAATCTCATGTTCAGCAAGGCAGTATGGAAGCAAATCTGCCCTGCAATGTATTATAGCTGCATTTTACTAGAATGTTGCCTTTGAAAGCTTAATTTAAAAGGTGGCATTGTAAAAGGTTTTGTTGTGTTGCTAAAAAGAGTGAACAAAGTGCACTGAAAGGCAAAAAAAAGGTATTAACTGATGTGGGAGACAAATACAGAAGTGTCAGGCAAAGCACATGCAAAAACACCAGCTTGGTTTTAAACTATGGTTTGGTAGAGAAATACAATTTTGAGTTTAATGGGAGCAAGAAATAACTAATGCTCTCTGTCCTAAGTTCATAAAATTGATGGAAGTGGAGAAGGGGTCTCCCCTCAATGTAAGCACAACGAGAAATAGACATATCTATAAGATATGTCTATTAGAATGTGAATATCTGACATGTGTGAGATTATGGGAGTGGGGCTTTCACTGACTGGGCAGTGAGACTCCTCCAGTACAAGTGCAATACAGAATGAGCCAAAACAACTAAGTATGTACCCTATATTGTGGGAAAAATCTTTGTTATTTGTAGAAAACAACTTTACATCAGAAAAGGAAAATATCTTAGTAATGTGTTTTGTTATCTGGAAGAACTTGGAGGCAAAAAAGACACGGAAAGAAAGAAGAGAGTGAGCAGCTGATATATTTTTGTTGGGGAAAGGATTGCTTAAATAAGACTTTGCTTATGGTTGCAATCAGATATGGGGTTTATAACAGGCCTTTGCATATTCAGTACACTGAGCAGCCACTCCCTGCCTAATCCTCAGAGAATGGCTGGGAGGTAGGAGGGTTTACTATTACCCCAACTGCACAGATGACCCTCAGACAGGCAGAAACTGCTGCAAATAGCTAGAATACAGAATAGGAAATTCTGCTGGATGGGGCCATTCTTGGTTGCCCTAAAAAGATGCCAAAACCAGTTACAATCTAAGTCTTCTGTAGAGACTCCTTTTATTGAATGACTGCAGTGGGGCACTGTAGGAAGGAGAGTCCCCGGTATCCTAATGTGCGTTCCCCTTCCAGCCTGGATTATGTTACTGGTGATAACAGCTATCCTTTGCCCCACTGGCTTGAAATTTCTAGTGACTGCACCCATGTTTAACTGCTCATAAGCCCTAGCCGTGAGGAGAGGCAAGACTTAAAACAGCAGTGTGCATCTTTGCCACCTTCTGTTAGGACAAGTGCAGGAATAGCCAAAGGTTTGGAATGCTGGGGTATTCCCCATGTTTGCATCAAAAACAGCAATGCTGCTTGTCCTGCTGTGGGGATAGCTGTAATTGCACTTTCACTGGCACAAGTGGAAGAGGTGAGGTGCTTGCTTCAGTAATAGGCCGCAAAGATCTGTGCTGAAAGCTGGGTTCCTCAGGTGCATCAGTCTGGCAGAGGTTAGACCAAATTTTCCGTACAGGAACATGTTTGGGGAGAGGACTCCAAGAAGGAGAGCTCTGGCTTTTTGCTCTTTCTTGGGCATGATCTGCTGACAATCCCACCTCTTCCCCTTTCAGGCTCTCTGTTGCTCTTAGCTTTCCCAAATCACAGTGGTCACACCACATCATACCCTTTGCTGTCACATCCAGTGATTTTTTTTTTTTTTAAACAGAGCAAAGCAGTTTGCCCCATCCCAAGTCCAATGAACTCCTTTAGATGACTGAAGGAACTCTGCTGCATCTCATTGACCTTGGCAGAGATGAGACATTTATGTGTTTATTTATGCCCTGCTGATCAAAGCGTGTTGCAGGTAATGGGAAAGTGAAGGAGCCAAGTCTCTGATTTCATTTGCCTGGTGCTTATAGCTTCCTGGGGGAAGTATCTCATGGATGGGAAGGTACGCACCAGTCCAGTTAGAATATGCCATGCATGCCTGTGTAGGCCAGGGGATGAGAGGACTTGGCATTTCTCAGACAGAGCTTTCGTTTTGTGACCATGTCATAAAAAAGGTGAAGGAAATTTTATCGGCTTGACTTTACACTGTTATTCACAGGCCACTGTTAAGTTGCCTCGTCCTCTGATTTCTCATTGCCACACTGAATTCAGGAGCTTGGGGTGAATTTAAGACACACAGAGCTTATTTTACTCCGAAGCATTGCCATCTTATAGGGTGGGACCTGGGAGGGGAAAGAGAGAAGTGGTGTTACATGCCACAGGACTGAGCAAAAGGAAGCCATGGGCCAGTGAAGAAGAGAGCGAGTTGATGTCTTCAGAGACGCCCAAAGGGTAATCTTAGGATCCTGGTTGCTCAGCTAATAACTGAAGATTGTGAAGCCAGCAAGGAGTGCACTGTTGGAGAATCTGGAAGGGTGGTGGTGGGAAACGGACTGTGCCCCTTCATTCATATGCAGAAAAATGAAAATAGAGGGAGGAAGGATAAAAATATCTCTAGTTTTCCTTATGCATTGAAACTTGTTTAATTATTAAAATGGGAAAAATATTTTAATTAATGCATAAAAGAAATGTTAGTAATATTTCTGAGCTGGTATAAAATTAATGCTTTAAATTAATCCACACTTGGAGGTGTACTGCTCTACCTTTTTCTTTTTTTTTTTTAATTTTTATAATATGCTGTGTTAATGACAGTATTAGGAACTAATGCTAAATCTTACCTACAACATCTATGGGCTATAATTACTACTATAAACTTTGAAATAAGGTAGTACTAATTGGTAAAGCTGGTTATAAAAGGATTTTCTAAGACTGATGTATATCCATAACAGCATTTAAACCCCTGATTTATACAACTTTTCACAGCTTGATCTGAAAGACAAGGTCACAAGAGTGTCTTCCCTTCCCCTTCCCTTCCCGGAACTTCCCTTTGGATTATTTCCCTTTTAAACTGTGCAAGTTATTTGAGATTTCCAGGGCTTTTTCTGAGGATCTCCTACATGTTGTTACTTGTTTTCAGAATTGGTCACAAGGGCTGTCTCCTAATTGACCTCTCTTCCATGCAACATCCCCTCAGAGCCAGCCCTTTCCTATGGGAAGGAGGCTGGCTGTGGGTTCACCGGAGTGTCACAGTCAGTGGCAATAAGGAGACAAGGAAACATAAAACCAAAAAAACAATCACTCATTTGGAAATGGTTGTGGATCCAGTTAGAATATCCTGCTTCCCCTGATGCCCGCTTCTCACCTGAGAGGGCAGCAGACATGTTCCTAGCAGAGGGCCAGGACTGAGTGTGTAAAACCCCCCTGCTCTGCTGCTGCTGGTGTGTGTGGGCTGCCAAGGGAACACCTGGCTCTGTGTGGGGAGTGCTTGGCAGTCACACACGGAGAGACACCTATGCTGGAGTGGCAGGGACTGGCCTGTGGATCCTGGGTGTGGTTTAACCAGAACATAGGGCTAAGTCCAGGTTTCTGCTTTCCTCCTCCTGCTTTGCTGCCCAGTCCTGTGTTCTTATCCTCTCGTGCAGCTTGTACAGCTGCTCTGGGGTCCCAGCACATGGAGGACATGGGCCTGCCGGATGGAGGACTTCTGCTATGAAGACATGCTGAGGGAATTGGGATTGTTCAGCCTGGAGAAGAGAAGGCTTTGGGGTGATCTCATTGTGGCCTTCTAGTGCCTGAAGGGAGCCTATAGGAGAGATGGAGAGAGACTCTTGATAAGGGCCTAGAGTGACAGGACAAGGTGGGATGGCTTCAAACTGGCAGTAGGTTTAGTTGGGATATCAGGAAGAAATTCTTCCCTGTGAGGGTGGTGATGCCCTGGCACAGACTGCCCAGAGAAGCTGTGGCTGCCCCATCCCTGGCAGTGTTCCAGGCCAGGTTGGATGGGGCTGGAAGATGAAAGGTGTCCCTGCCCGTGGCAGAGGGTGGGAATGAGATGGGCTTTAAAGACTCCTCCTACCCAAACCACTCTCTGATTCCATATATAACTACTGCAGGCAGCTGTCAGATTTACCTTTATTACTTATCTTTTCTCCTGTATCATACCTTTATGGCTGCTCACATCACTCTGCTCCAGGGTTGTTGTTTCTTTTAGCTCGACAACTCCCTGGGATGGCTCATACATGGTCATGTGTGCACTAGCACGAGGAAGATGTT